GGGGCTGAGAAGGGGAGTGATTCAATGATGGGGTAACATTTCATGTAGAATAGCCATGTCATGAAAAACACAGTAAAAGTTTTATTTGTGAACCTCTATTACACAGACCTTTACTTTGTTGCAGCAATATTTAGACTTGCGGCAATGTACTTCACTTAATAATGTCACCAGAGGCTCAAAAATACCTTCAAAGAAAAACATTTTATATACCTCTTCAAGAGACAACACAATGTCCCCAGTGAAAGAAGAATGATAAGGCCTCTTCATTGCAAACAATTCCCAGACTGTGACTCCAAATGACCAGATGTCACTTTCCTTGCTGAATTCGTTGTTTAGCAGAGCCTGAGGTGACCACCAGCAGTAACTGTTGATGACATGTTGGAGTTCAAGCACTACAGTTAAAGTATAGTGTAGGACAATTTTTTTTGCAATATTTTTGGAAATTTAAATCTCAACTTGCAGCATGGCAGTTTTCTCCAAACATGTGGGATGCAGTTTTTTAACACTACCCCCCAAAGTCCTCCACCATTTCCCAAGCCTTATTTAGTTTTGGATTGTTTTAGAAATAGGCTGAAACAGGACCTCAAACAGCTTTATTTTATCTTAAGTCAAAATTACTCAACTCAATGTTCATTAACAAATTCTTACTAGTTGTTGTTATTGCCATGTTATTTGCTCATAATGTAACACTTACTGTGGTTTCAGTATGACATCAACTTTAGACTCTGTATGTAGTATTTGGTGATTTCTTTTGTAATAATGAGGTATTTGCCAATCTTAATCATTAACCCTTATACACCCTCACATCATACAGGGATGTGGTCTAGCAGCACCCACCGCCTTGGCGCCTTTCTTTTGCTCTTGGGTGACTCAGGAATCTTAGTTTTTTAATATAAAGAATATGCTGGACACTCTGGATTTCACAGTTTCAGGGCTCTGGCGTGGGCTCCCTTCAATTTTTCTAAGAGCATAGCCTTGAGTATGCATATTCTTTACACTGTGCTCTGTACATTTCCTATAATGGTACCATACTAAAATGGAGAAATTGTTCACCAATCAAGAACTTCTTGAGTTGGCGATCATTTCAGTCTGTAAAGACCAAATTCCTCTTTAATGCTTTTGTTAAGTGCTTCTCTGACTTCGTTACTCGAGTGAATACCCAAAACCAAAGGAAATATACAAATGACAAACACAACTACGAAGCAGTTGACCAAAATGATTTTGGTACACAGAACATTCACTAGCAACTGAGGTCATGTGACCAAAAAAGGTGGGGAAAACAAAAAACAGGGAACCCAGCTAACAATTTCCTTGATTCTCATGACATTACTCTTTTGTTCAGTGGTGATACTGTTAGTAGAAATTAAAAGCCAGTGACTCCTATGGATTAAAGGGTCAAGAGAGAACCTAGCTATATATCACATACTTTAGCCTCTCACCTGTGTCCTCTTTGGGACTCATGAGAGAAGCTGTGACCATTCTTGTGAAGTTGTATGAGGTAGAAATCACTGAGCTTGACACAATCTGAGTCAAACACTAATACATTGTGTGCACACAATCTACCATGAACACAATCCTGTGATCAAGAAATAAGTTAGAAGATATATAAGGAAGAACAACGCCACGAGAAAATTAAGGGACAGAAATACTCACTGAGTGAAGTAAAATGAAAAAAAAAAAAAAAAAAAATCCAACTGCTTTCTTGTGTTTTTAAATGTAGATGACCATAATATATTACACTCTTGTGACTTATAATTTGGCTAAAAACAACTTTAAATTTGGAATTATCCATGAGGCTACTGTGATAGGCTGAGCTTGATTACCTTGCTGTGTAGGAACATCATCCCCTCTGCAATCTGCATTAAATAGGAAATGAGCCTGGCTATCGTCATTCCATTTTCTTCTTTATTGCTGCAAAAAATTTTGAAATAAAATTCCATGACAGGATGGAAACCATGTGCATGGTAAGTAACTCCTGTTGCCTTAAATCCAAAGGATTTGTGAGAGACAATGGAAGGTACTTACAGTGTGTGTGATTTCTGTCTGGTCATGTTTGTTGTTATAATAACTATCTTTAATATTACTGAAACTTTTATCTTTTTTATTATAGCAAGGCTGATATAATGTATTAATTAAGAGTCTGATAAGAATTAAATAGCATTATAATCTCACTCTGTATGACAGCCATCTAGATCAATAAGAGAAGAATGCTTTCTGAGTGGTTTTACTTCTCTTAAAACCTCAAGGATCCTTATTAAAAATGTACTTTAAAATTGTAATTTGTAAATTTCTCTTCAGAACTTTGCAAAACACAATGCTTCTATTTTTGCCCACAGAGGCTTCAAATGCTTTTTTTTTTCTTTTATGTCTCTAGTTAATTGGAACTAACTATAAGACCATATGCTCTACAGCCTGGTGCAGCTTTGACCCCATCAGACAGAGTGATCACAATCAGCCAATCAGCCAATCTTGAAATTCAGGCAAATTTAAGGCAAAGAGGTCAGAAGTCTCGGTAACTTAATCTCAAAAACATGCATTGCATCCAGAGGAAATAGCACCAGGAAGAAACACTCATTTCTCCCTTATGTTATGTATGACTGCACAATGATGAGCTTTAAAGAGAGGGAATGCTTGGTCTTACAGCAGACGTGGTATGAAATGGTTCATATAGGACTTGCCCCTCTCTATCTCCCCTCTCAAGAGGCTGATTTTCTGACACTCCCTTGCTTAAGGTGAGGACAAAAGGAGGGGTGGAGGGGGTGGAGAGGTAAAAGGGTTATAATGAAGATGGGATTGAGATAGAGATAGTGATCTTGTTCTGCCCATGAGAGGATCAAGCCAGTGAATATTAAGAGTTCATAAATATAGTCACACTCAAAGAGAGGTATAACTGGGGTGAAGGTAGCAAAATTAATTCTGGTGATTACAGTTATGCTCTGACCATTACTTTTCAATTGACAATACAATTTACCTTTCATTCTTAACATATTGATCAAGGGGACCTTCTGCTGCATATTCAAATACAAAGATCAAGGCTTTTTCAGTTTCTTCTATACCATAAAACATAGTCAGGTATGTGTTTTTCAGCTCGGTGAACTTTGCCATAAACTCTTTGAAGTTTATTATTTTCTGGGGAGATAAAATGATAGACTCATCACGGGTCATTCCATTTGGTTTTCTAATAAAATTAATTTTTATCATGGATATCACAAATAGTATCTCTTTTAGGCGTGGTTGGCTCCTAATTGTGATACTATAAGAGGGGAGTCTGTTCTAAGTTAGCAATTAAATCTGCTTTCCAGTTCTTTGCTTCCTTGACCTTCCTTTGCTTCCTTGACCTTGTTTTGTATGATGAATGAGTGTGTGTGTGTGTGTGTGTGTGCACGCACGTGTGCGTTGTGTGTGTTATATCTGACCCAAATAAATACATTACATAAATCACCAGAGTATAGCTGCCCTTTCATTCTAGCCCCTATGGTTATTTGGAGCAGCTAGTACTCCTTTATATTCTTGTAAATTTACCATTATTTTTATCAGTATTTTTTATGTTGGATACAAATAAAGTTGTTGTTGTTGTTGTTGTTGTTGTTGAAGTTTAATTGTCAAAAGAGAAAGCAGACAAAGTGTAGTTTTAGAAATTATGTTATACATTGACTAATTAAGTCCTGCTTAACAGTCATTATGATAGATTTTTCAAAAGTAGCTTACATTCTTTCCTCGAGGTTTGATCAGTGCTCTTGAAACCACTGCGACATGTTCGTCACCACAGTCCAAGTAGCCCTTCCTTACTTCACCAAATTCACCCTGTTAAGTACACAAATTAAAGGTTTTAATCCAAGTTTGTTAGCATCATGATATGAAATGTTAAGGCTAGAAATCAGGTTGATTAACTTGTGCTTTCCACACGGCGAATACTTGAAGTGGATTGCTTATTTTCATTGAAAGCTATCCTGCAGAGGTGTTAAACGATTTTCATGATAATAGTGATCAGGGCTCAACACTAACGGTAGCACACTAACCATAGACTAGTAGAAATTCAGTTTTGGTTAGTGGTTTTCAATTTTCACTAGCCAGTTTGGCTATAAGTAAACAGACTGAAATTGTCATACCATCTGAAAACATCTAAGATGTTACTACCCACTTGGCTAGTAAGTTGAAAAGTTAGTGTCGAGCCCTGGTGATGATGATGATGATGATGATGATGAGAAAAACTATAACAAAATTATGATGAATCAGATGAAATTTGAAGGAGAAGTATGCACAAGAACCCCTACACTTTTTATCAGCCTTTTCTTTTAATAAATACCATTGGATAAATTATGTGAAATTATGAAGCAAGACTGAACATGTTCAAGGGTTTTTATCTAGACGTGACTGGTAGAGGTAGTGAAATTATCAATTGATTTTAGCTTGCAGTGTTTTACCAATAGAGAATATGTTTCTTCATCCAAGTTCAAGCCTTGTAGTTGGTAAGAAGAATCAAGAAGACGAAATTCTGGTATAGCAGGTGTCAAAATCTGTCGGTCAAGCAATGCCGCAAAACCTAATAGAAAAATAAACAATTGAAGCCACTAATGCTATAAAGATCACGATGAGGGTCTCCTACACCCTTTTGCAAAGCCCAGTCACATAAAAATATTTGGCCTTTTTATGTGTCACAAATAATATTCATAACACTTTCACATTCACGCAAAATTTGAGGCAATTACATTGAATTACGATTTTTACTTTTGCTGGTCAAGACAAGTCTAACACAACAAAAGGTGACAATGTCTCACTTTATTTGTTTATTTAATGGTCTGTTTTATTACTTGTCGATCCATATCAAGTCCATCTCCTGTCAAAACCATGGTCAAAACCTGACCACGGCTGTTTGAGAATAACTACATTGCTAAAACCATAAAATAGCTGGAAATTCATCATGCAAAACCAAATGGTTCACAAATCACATTTAATTCTGATCAGTTCTCGATTCACGGGTCAAGTTTAAATGAAAAAATTTGTTCATGTGGACATGGAAAGATCTTATTATCTTCAATCACTATTTGCGAACAAGAAAAAAAGTCAAATCACCTTTCACAAGAAAAAAAAAATTGCTCAACCATGCTTCACTTAGCATAGGGGACCCTCTACAATATGGTTGCACGTGCATGTGTATAACTGAAGTCTACAATTTCACCACTTTCTATAACAACTTTCAAGGATCACCATTTTTAAAGTTTATAAAGTTAAAACTGAGAATTCAAATAATTTAATTATTGGTCTGGGAGAAAAGTTTTAGAATTTTGGAAACTTCCAAATCAACAACACATCACTTAAATGCATGTACCTTAATTTGTTCCTTGTTTTACTGACTAATTGTTAGTAACAACTTGAAGGTAGTTTTAGTCTTATCAACTGAGCTGATAATGTGAATTGGCCACCGTAAAGAGTTTCAAAGTTGATGAGTAAGCAAGTAAGTTTGTGGAGACTTCATGTACCTTTATATGTAAGACAACAATTCAATACCTCCAATCTTAATCCAGAACATTATCCTTTGTTATCAAAATTTTGCAAAAATATCCTTTGTTGTTGTCAGTAATAATCAAAAACATCACCTGTGGAATTTGGTGGAAGCATCTGCTTCAAACAAACAGGAAGTCCATCCTGGGGTGGAATGTAAATCAAAAATAAGTATTCTTTAATTAATTTGAACTTTGGGATTTTCAACACAGCAGATTAAATTTATAATTCTCTGTGCTGATTCCTCTGTTAAACTTTTACACTCTAACATGAGAAGAAATTATTCTCTATACTGCATATTTGCCAACTCTCCTGGATGATCTGGGAGTCTCCTGGATACAGAGTCAATCTCCCGCTCTCCTGTATGGGTGACCAAAAGTTCCAGATAAAAGGAAGTTTGGATCAGTTGCCCACAAAAAAGAAAACTAGTACAATTCAAGCTCCATGTGTTCCAGAATTCCAAAATTATCTGGCTTCTTGTGCTTGTATTATGGTTTCTGGCTTCACTATCGGTTAATTCTCGCATGATGCACATTGTTCATTGCAAACAAAAAGAAGAGAGTTTCTTCTTTGTTACTCCTATGAAAGCGTGAGTCTGATTGGATGGGTATGCAACCAATTGAAGTCCAAAACAAATAAATCCGTATTTTCCCCGTGAAATTGCTCGGCATGCTCACTGATACTTGAAGGTCCATAGTCTGAATCTCAATCATGGGGGGGGGAGAAGAAAGGGAGATGTAAGAGGTCCAAGTAAAAAAAAAAGATTTTCTGGGGGGATCGCATTGGCAAATTCAGTTGGGGGAGGGTGCTGCTCAGAAAAAAAATCTCCAGATTTGAGTTCTCCAGAGGTTGGCAGGTTGGCATCTCTGATACTGTTCTCTATATATTTCCTAAACTGCTGACTGGGAGAATTTTTGGGGGTCAAAGACTTATTTTGCTAGTAGAAATAAAAATATTGAACTCACTGCAGAGAGTCTGTAATGTTCTACAAGTCCCATTAAATCTGAAAATCCTTTGCTTGGGTCACTTTCATGGTAATACATTCCAGTGTCAGCACTGAATTTGATAACATAATGCCTGACTTTCTCTGCTACACAGACGGAGAGTATGAAGGTGTCATGGGCATCTCTACCCTTCCGTAGCAGGAAAAAGCCATCTTTGGTTTCTCCTTCTACTGTTCCCCTCAGAAGCAGGTTTGTGGCTTTGTCGCGCCTGAAATGACGAGTTGTTTGTAATTAACAACTAAAAAAGTTTGGATATATCAACAAAGTTGAAATGGTAAATTGGCCACCGTAATGATTACAAAAGCTGATGTTTCGAGCGTTAGCCCTTTGTCATTCGCTCCGACGAAGGGCTAACGCTCAAAACGTCAGCTTTTGCAATCGTTACGGTGGCCAATTTACCATTTCAACTTTGTTGATATATCCAAATTATTTCGTTACCCCCACCGACGCAGCCCCAAACAGTTTCTTTCGCAATGTCAGCCTTTAACTAAAAAAATTATCACATCAGCAGGGTGTTCATGGGTTACGAGAACAAAACTTAATAATAGCATGGCCCAAAAACTAACCAAAACTCAAGAACTACAATACAACATCTAATGAGTAATATTCAAATCATAAATGCCCTGTAGAGAGAAACTTGTTGTTTTTGGGTATCTTTTCTAATATTAAATTAAAGGTGCATGACATACACTTACGTGATAGGTCCATGAAGTGTAGCATTTAAGCTCTTAGCGCCTAGAAAACAAACAAACAAAAATAAACAAAAACTATCACTACAATGAATGTTTTTTTAAGTTTGCTTTAATTTCCAAGAGTTCAATCCCTGCATAAACATCAGTAGTTACTAAAAAATAATTCAAGATGTAAGGATTTGGAACAATACCATTATAAATACCCAAATGATCTTATTCCTCCAGTCAGAAAATTACTAACCATGTAGAAGCAGCTTGTACTGGTTCACCATGAGTCTGTAATATCCCCCAATGAGAGTGATTAGGGAGTAAGCGTCATTGGTGGAACTTGCTGTCAAAATCTGAAATTGTTTAAGAACCATACATGCCAATTACAAGGCTGTGGGTAGAAATATTTGGCCGAGGGAGACAACAAAGCAAATGCTCGGGGTAAAAGTCATAGTGAGATCTGGGCAAGCCAATGTTCGAAGACTAGTGACTTGCAAATGCCACATTTCAAAGGTAATATTTAATAAAGTTTAAACTTTTTACATAAAACTCCATAGACAGAAAGCATGAAAAAACATTGCAAAAATGTTTTGAGAGGTAGGGGGGCCCATTAAAATTGTCCCCATTCACAAACAGCATACCTACAAATACTACACAGTGAGAGCCAGAAGGTCACAAACTGCAGCATTACACATCATCGAGTGATAGAAAGCTTGATTTCTGAAGTTCTAGCAACTTCATTAGTTTATATCCTCTGGAGCTCTGGGGCATTATTTTATTCTTCTAGAGCTCTTTTCCAGAACAACTGAAAATCTGATTATCAGTCTTAGGGCTGCAGGAAACTTGCCATTGAAATATAATCTGCAGTTATTGGAAGGGTGTCGCAAGGAGGGTGAGATATTAGTCAGAGAAGAAAGTTTTTCTGTTTCACTAGGAAGTGGCAGCAGGGTCCCTGTCCACCCCCTATCCCTCCCCCC